AAGAACATAGAAGAACATTCGATATTCAAAGCATAAATCAAACAATAAAAATCAAATTAGATCTCACAATTTGGTGGATTTTGAGGCTTTTGTTTCCTTCGACCAAGTATTAGAGTTTAGCCATGCATGGTCATGGTGAAAACTCATGAAAAATCAGAGAGTAGAGAAGAGAAGAGAAGAGAGGTTTGGCCGCCCTAATCTGCTTTCTCCCTTGCTTGCTGAGTTCTTGTCTCCAAGGTTGAGTGATTCWGATTGCTAGTCCGCCCCCCTTTATATAGCCTTAGGAGGGAGCAGTTTTCAACTCCTTTTAGGAGTTCTCTTTCAAATAGAAGTCCAATTCCCTATTAGATAATGCCAAATTCAGATCTGATCTCTAATTAGAAATTTTAACAAAGATGGACTCTGACTTTTTTCTTTCTTTAGGAATACAATAAGAAGCAGATCTGATTGAGACTCTCTAGAGATTCACGCCTCCCTCTCAGCCGAATTCTATTGGGAATGATGGAGTGGGCCCTACTATTGCATGCTGAATCATGCTGGTTTTCTCCAGTGAACTGGGGCTCTTTGCGAACTAGGCTTTGCTGCAAGTTCCTTTCAGCCCAAATCATGATTTCTAGTGCGATTGTAGAGAATTCGGGCCCGATGTGGACCTCGATTCATTCTGTATCTATCAAACATCAAAACATAAAAGTTGTAGAGTTTTTTCTTATCTTTCCAACTCATCTTGGATCATTTCAATTAGAGTCCGGATGGGAGAGTTATGCCCAAATTACCATGCGGCGCCGAAACTATGCAAAATTACCCGATTAGCCTTGTTTTTCACCTAACGCCTCCTTTCATGCCCTAAATCGAAATATAAGAATAGTGAGTCCAATTAGGCACTAAATAAATATAAAAGACTAAATATTAAGGGATAAAAATATGATAATTTTCATTCTCATCAAATCCCCCCACACTTAGACCTTGCCCGTCCTCGGGCAAGACAGAAATTAAGCAAACTAAGCTAATTATTGTACCAAACATTAAACTCAATCTTCCTTCATCTTTTTCCACAAATATTCTAGGTTAACTATTACAAACCGTTAAATCAACACTACCAAGTTATACATGACTCATCCATCAACCAATCTAGTTTTTGCTACTACAAACCATGTAGTAAACTAGGGAAAACAATTTTTTTTTTCTTTTTTATCTCCTTTCTCTTTTTCCTTTTTCTCTTTGGTGGAAGTGAGTGCATTTTATGCTCCATCTCACTTTAGGATTACTTGGTTAGTAGGTGCATTTTATACTCCATCCCACTATTTGAATTACTAGCTAGTAGGTGCATTTTATGCTT